AGTAGTCTTGGCGTCCCAGGAACCATTTCTAATGACTGGTTCTTTAAGGTCAGTTCCCGTTCATACTATTCTCTTTTCAAACACAGGAAATATTTAGGCGTGCCTAGTTTTATTCTTACAGAAGTGATCAAAATTATCAAGAAATTAAAGTCATTGAGAAAGTGTTATTGTTAGAGAAAGATAATTCTGGAAACTCCAAGGTCGGAAAGACTTTACCAGTGTCTTGAGGAAAGAACATTGTAGTGGCATTTGGAGGAAAAGTGATGGATTGTGGAAGCCGAGAGAGCAATGGCCAGAGAGGCAGGAGTCCACGCTGGGAGAGGTGGCTTACACTGTATAAAAAGTTCCACTAAGGATTGGAGACAATAATTACACATTAGGACAGGCCATATATTTTGATGATAAAATGAAATTACCTCCAGAATGAACTCACATGAGGTTTTATTTTCAGAATCTGTAGCCTGATGTGTTCTCAGAAACTGCATTTTTCAATAATTTGAGGAATATAAGGCATGGCATTAGAATAGTTTTCTTAGAGTATGGAAGATTTCTCACTGCAATTCAATGCAATCTGTGGGTCAGATTGTTTTCTATGGTTGAAATCCTAATAACTCAGGGAAGCTATGCCCCTGCTCCCTTACTATAAAGATTCTTTTCTTTACTCTTAATTACTCTCAATCCTGGGAAATATTCCTAATTTACACATTGCTACTATCTGTTCTCTGGGAATAGCAAGGTCACAGAGACAAGATCAGCTTAAGGAGCAGAGTTTCAGGTAGTATTTGAAATATCCAATAGTCTTCTTCTTCATACTCTGATCTTTCACTTATATATTACTTTAAAGAAGAGCTTTACTTCATAACAGGCACGTAAGATTTGGCTGAAAAGAAAGGGTTTTTTTTTCCTTATTTTTTTATTTAACAAATTTTGAATTAGAGTTTGGAACCATATTATTTTGTATCAGATTCCGATGTGCAGCAAGGTGTTTGAAAATCATGTACTGTACAGAGGGTCCTCATGCTTCTTCAAGTATCACCCTGCCCCACACATAGCTCTTAGATATATTTCATCGATTCTCTATGCTATAATCTACATGCCTGTGATTGTTATTTTTTAAAAAGATTTTATTTATTTTAGAGAGAGGAGAAGGGAGAAAGAGTAGGAGAGAAACATCGATATGTGAGAGACACATCAATCGGTTGCCCCTTGTATATTCCCAGCTGGGGACCTGGCCCACAACACAGGCATGTGTCTTGACTAGGACTCAAACCAGCATCCTTCTGGTTCACAGGCTGTGCTCAATCCAGTGAGCCACAGCAGCCAGGGCTAGATGCCACATCAGTGAAATCATATGATATTGGCCTTTCTTTGTATAACTTATTTCACTGAGCAAAATAACTTCTAGGTCCACCCATGGTGTCACAAAGGGTAAGGGTTCCTCCCTTTTTATGGTGGACTAGCATTCCATTATGCATATGTACCACAGCTTGAAAAGGAAGGCTTCAAATTTCCTTTGTTTATGAGAGTGAATCACGGCACTTTCCTGGTTTCAAATATGTAAATCTAGGTCATCATTGAATAAGTACCAAGAGCACCTGCATCGTTCCAAAATATTAACAATGACTCAGTTGTGTGCAGAGATATAAATACTGATCTCTACATTCTTTCTTAGTTTCTGATCTAAGAGTTAATTTGTTTGACTCATTCCTGTCTTTTTGTGTCAGAGTCTCTCACAGACTTGGGGAAAAATAACATTTAAGCAGCTAGTTCAGTAGTTCGAGATGTGACCACAAGGTGGCAGTGCACCTCTGCTGAGGCAGCATTTGTGGAGAGTTCATTTGAGTGCATTCTGAATGCGTTCAGTGCATTCGAGAGAAGCACAGTGCTTTTCTTATTGGCTGTGTAGAGAATGTGAGAAACGCTTATTTTCATGTTGTCAGAGACAAAAAGAGAGAACTTGGTAACAGCAGTAGGTCCCCTGGCTGTAGGTTGCAGGTCCACATTTAGCCTTAAGTAAGAAGAATGAAGACATCCACTGAGCCCTTTTCTTGTTCTTTTGTCTGCAGCTGGCCTGTGAGTTGATCGTGAATGGGGAATCGACTGTATCAGTGGGTATTCCTTAGAAGCCAAGCCTGGCTTTAGTTGCGTTTCCTCAGTTACTGAAGAGAAAGAAAATCCTGAAGTATACTAATCTGGTCACTCTCCTTTCTCTGAATCTTTCTTGCTGCGCAGGTGTCGGCCGCGGAGAGAAAGTGGATCAGCAACCTCCTACCCTGAGTGTCCAGGAGGGAAACACCTCTGTCATCACCTGTTCTTACTCAGATAGTCGGTCACAGTACTTTCCATGGTATAAGCAAGAGGCTGGAAAAGGTCCAGAGGTGGTTACATACATTCGTTCAACTACAAATGAAAGGAAGCAAGAAAGACTCATTGTTGTTTTGTATAAGAAAGCCAAACATTTCTGCCTACACATCGAAAACACCCAACCTGGAGACTCAGCTGTGTACTTCTGTGCAGCGCGTGCACATTGCTTCCCAAGAACGCGAATCCTGTACATAACTCTATCTCCAAGTGGAAAATAATATGTTGTATGTTAAAAACCACTTTTAAAAAGTTAGGTTTAAAATGACCAAGAAAGCATTAGACATTTTTTCAGATAGACTGTTGCATAATGAATTCTTGGAGTGAGTTAGCAATGTTTAATTTTAAAATTGAAGCTTTAACGATTATTTTATATGTGATGTACCAACTCCTGCCCTATTAAAAAAACCCTTAGCATCAGTCTCACAGTCATTGTTATGGTTTGGCTTTTAAATATTGTGTTTTCAAAACTGCATTTAAATTTTTTCTATTAGAAATAACTATGTGCCAAATGCAGATAATATGTAGAGCAGAAAAATATGAAGTTGGTAGTTGTGTAGTAGGATAATATTGCTAATTCCTAATATTTGTATCAGTTTTTATTGTAATTAGAATCATAATTCTTTCATTGAATTATATACCTTGACTTGAGCATTTTCCATTTCATCACGTCCTCTCCTGCAAAATCTGCTTTCTAATAGCTTTGTGAGAGACTTTAATAAATCACAGTTTATATTAATTTTCTTCTTCTATATTTGTGGCAAAATCTAACAGTCTTTTCTTGTGCACTGAACACTTTCTGGTTAATAAAATGTGGCACCTTTTTTTGCCCTAGAGATCAGTGATGTTATATATTATTTGTGTATTTGAGGAAATCAATATTTGAATTGATTCGAGAATGTAAGCTTCCAATTAAGCTCACAAAGCAATTCTCTTTTACCAAATTCTGCACATATACTCTCACATTTAGTCTCTTGTAGAATTTGGAAGACAGGGCGTTTAATATTTACTTCTTTAGCCTCAATACCTAGCACAAAGTTTTTCACATAGTTGATAATTAAGAGATGTTTGTTAAAGACAGAAAGGTGAATTCTGGTATTTATTTATAATTTTAATTTAAACTATGTAATAGATTATAATTTATAAATTGATTTGTGACTATCAGAAGCCTTTAATATGTATATTTAAATGTGGTTAAATAATATGGTTATTTCATTATTGAAGAATGTACAGTTTCTTTTTATTTATACATGTCTTTCTCAATAAAGCGCTGTTATTTTAAGCCAATAAAACTTATTCCTAGACTTGTCCTTTTTATTTCCATTATGGGATATACAGGGACACTTTTATAAGTGTTTATCAGTTACCTTACTATTATTAGTGGAATGCACAAAGGCATCAGATGAATGGATAATTTACAGGTAGCTTGTGACACATCTCCCTGCCTAATCATCGCATTTTGACTGAATGAAACATTACTAACCACAACCCTTTTTTATTAAAAATGTTAATCTTTTCATGTTACAGGGAAATCAATGTAATGAAAGAATTTGTATTAATAATTAATTTCCTATTTCTCCTACCCTTGGCATTATCTGATCTCAAGGGTTCTATTTGTCACCATTCAGAAATACAACTCAAAATGGTTCAAAGACCTCAATATAAGACCTGAAACAATAAATTACATGGAAGAAAACATAGGTACTATATTTACAGACCATCATTTTACTGAGGATTTTATGAATTTGACCTCAAAGGCAAAAGAAGTAAGAAGAAAAATAAATGAATGTGACTACATCAAACTAAAAGGCTTCTGCACAGCAAAAATGCTGCAAACACAATGAAAAGGCAACGAACCAAATGCGAGAAGACAATTGCAAACAAGAACTCTGATAAGAGGTTAAAATTCAAAATATATCAAGAACACATAGAACTCAGGAACAAAACAATCCAGTAAAAAATGGGCAGAGGATCTGAAAAGACACTTGTCCCAAGAATATATACAAATGGTCTTCAGATACATGAAATGTGACACAATTTCACTACCTATAAGAGAAACGCTAATCAAAAGTGCAATGTGATACTGTCTTACATCTGATAGGATGGCTATTAACAATAAGACAAGTAATAAAGTACTGAAGATGTTTGCCAAAGAGGAGAATGGTTGTGAAAGTGGGTGAAAAATGCGAAGGAATTGAAAGTACAAATTGGTAGTTATAAAATAGGCACTAGGATGTAAAATACAGCATAGGGAATATAGTGTAAATTATTGTAATAACTATGTATGGTGTCAAGTGGGTACTGCAAATATCAGGGGGAACATTTTGTAAAGCATGTGATTGTCAAACCACGATGCTGTACCTGCTCTTTATACAAAATAATATGGAAAACAAAATTTAAAGAAGAGATTGTTAATTCTTGAAAACTTGGGGTTGAGTGGCACTCTCAGCTGGCACATAGGGAAGCCTGATGTGACCCACAGCAACCTGCTGCTCAGGAAACGCTGTTTCCTGTTCTGGGGCGGCAGCAGCACACAGCCCAGTGTTTCTTCCCTTCCTGTCAGAGTCACCTCACCTTGCAGAGCCCTGAAACTGCAGGAGAACAAGAAGATACTTTTCCCTTGTTGGAAGAACATGAACATGTTGCTCTCCAGCCTTCTGAAGATGGTCCTGGTTTCCATGTGGCTAGGTAGGGACGTCACAGTGGGTATGGGCGTCCTCTATAACCTAAGGACCAGGAGTCCAGGCAGTGTTTTATAAGTGCCCTTGGAAGGAGAGGTAGCAAGTTGTAAAACAGATTTTATTTTGTCCCCCATGACTTATCCCCAAACCTTCTGATTTTTTTTCTCTTCAGGATGCAGTATTGGCCAGAAGGTAACTCAAGGCCAACCAGCAATGTTAGTGCAGGAGAAGGAGGCTGTGACCCTGGACTGCACATATGAAACCAGTTCCACAAGTTACAGCCTATTCTGGTACAAGCAGCTCAGCAGTGGGGCGATGATTGTCCTTATTCGTCAGGACTCCTATAACCAGAAGAACGCCTCAGAAGGTCGCTATTCACTGAACTTTCAGAAAGCAAACAGTTTCATCAATCTTGTCATCTCAGCATCACAGCAGGAGGATTCTGCAGTGTATTTCTGTGCTTTGAGTGAAACCACAGTGAGAGGTGTGTATGAAGGAGGTGTTCCAAAACCCCAGGGACCTGCTTGTTGCATCCACCTGCTGTAGGGACCAAGGCCAAGGTTGTCAACAAAGCCAGGAAGTGGTGAGAGGTGTGGAAGCGCAGGTGTAGGTAGAGTTTGAGGGACAACACTCTATGAAAATACCTCTCCAGGTCCTTAGACCATGTGCACTATTATTATTTATCAAAAACATCTATATGTTTGAAAATTGGGGTTGAAATTATTTATTGAAGACAAAGAACAAGCAAAACAAACCGTTTGATATTTGATGAGACATTGAAATGGAAGAATTAACTAAGGAAATTCATAAACACCTGAATCTAAACATTAGTAAAAGTCTGAGGAATTGTAAGATTGCAGATCAATTTGTTTAGTAAATATTTATTGGGTATATTCTATGACACAGGCACTATTTTGAAGAAGGAAGGCTGTGAAATCTTTCTGTGGTTTTCCTCTTTTTGTATGCTATGCTTTTTTATACTGTTTAATGAATTAGTTTAGTTTGGATTTGTTAGATCAGTTAAGGCACTCTCATTGAATTTCCAAGGTACCTAGTGTGTGAGAAACTTTGTGTTCTTTCCATCTCATTAAGACTCTATCATGGAAGAGCTTATTTCCATGATATAGATTCACCAGCAATAAATCCCACCAGTATTAAACCTAAAATGATCAATAATTAGTGGCTCTAGGGGGACATCGTGAACAAGCAAAGTGTGAATTAGCTTTTTCTACCTTTGCCCTTCAATTCACTACTCTTCTGAAAGCATTTCTGTGGCTCCTTTGCACACATCATGCCCTCTTTATTCAATGTTCTACAATCCAAAGTCCTCATTCTCTAATATTTCCTCCTTTTACTTCTAACCCCATTGGCTCAGTGCCTTAAAATTTGAGTGATAATGGATGTTTAATAAGTGATCTTGTATTTTAACTCCATGTAATATTTGCACTTGGAAAGCATATGTGCATAGTAAAAGTCTGTAAAGGAATCTCTTTTAACATTTTTGACTGTTCCTAAAATGTTACCATTTGAATATAAATTTTTCCCGCTGAAGGTGTACAATTGGGTGGTATTTAGCATGTTTACATTATTGTTCAAGAAACACCACTATTTCATCGAAAGAAGTCTATTCACCTTGAAAAACTGTACTCCTTAACCAATAACATTCCATTTCCCTATCTCTCCAGTCAATGACAACTACCATTTCAGTTCTTATTCTATAATTTTACTATTTTAGATACCTCAGAAAAGTGGAATCCAGCAATATTGGTCAAACTGTAACTTATTTCACTTAGCATAATGTGTTGCTGGTTCACCCATATTGTAGCATGTGTCAGAACTTATTTCCTTTTAGAGCTTAAATAGTATACCAATATATGTATTTACCACATTTTGTTTATCCATTGATCTGTAGATGGATATTTGTGTTGCTTCCACATTTTTGTGAAAAAAATGCATATAAATATATCAATATGTTTATGTGTAAGCCCTAATTCTTTCTATTTTCTTGAGTATGCTCTCAGAAGTAGAATTACTGCATCATATGACAATTCTTTAAAAAGTTTTGAGAACAATTTATACTGGTCAATTTGAGGAACTGTGATCTCAACAGTTTTATCACAATCAAGTTTTAGGCACAGGGAATGAGAGTAATCACCAGTCATGAGTGAAGTTTCAGTTTTCTGGTGACTCCCAAAAGTCTGGAAGAGTTTATCACCCTTGCTGCAGTGCATTCTTCAAGTCAGATGCCTAATAAGCACTCTAAAAGGAATGGTCAAGACACTTCCTAGTGGTTTTCTACTGAAATGTTGTTTGTGACCTTCATGCTTCTCTCTCTCCTTTTGAAAAAGCCAAACCTGCAATTATTGACTAGTATTAGTTCCATTTGCATGAATAAAGAACCTGCTGACATAGCGTCTTGAAATCTTTCAAGGTCTAAAGAAGTAATTTCACTAACTTCTGGTCTTTCTATCAAATTTTCTCTGAAAATAATCCATAGTGAAAAAACCCAAGAAGCAGATTTTTGCTATCCAAGAGAACTGTGTTAAAAATATGAGCTCTGTCACATCTTTTTTCGGCACTTATGAGCTCTGTTTCATTGTTAGTTAAATGGTAGAGTAATATCTTCTTTATATTTGATTGTGACAACTGATCAGTAATATATTCAAAAAGAGATTGATAATGAGCTGATGATCAATGAATGAGAGTACCCTCTGTAGGTACAGAAAAAGCATTTGAGAAATCTTCCCTCCATTCCTCTTTACAAACACCCAGCAAATTCAGAATCAAAGGCAATTTCTCCAACTTCATGAAAGGCCTTTCCAAAAAACCCTACATCTAAGGTTATACTTGGTAGCGAAAGACTGAATACTTCCCCCTTCGGATCAGGAATTTTGGCTTTCATCTTCTGTATTTAGTACTGCACTAGAGATCTTAGGCAGTGCAATATGGCAAGAGAAAGAAATAAAAGACATGCAGTTCAGAAAGGAAAAGTGAACCTATCTTAATTCACAGACATCATAGTTATCTAGTAGAAAATCTAAGAGTTTGTACAAAAGTGCTACTAGAACAAGTAGTTAATTTTAACAAAGTCAGTTGTAAACCTATCATATAACCCAGCCATTCTACTCCCAGGGATTGACTAAAGAGAAATGAAAGGATATTTTTTAAAAAAGTTCTTATACAGATATGCTAATAGTAGCTTTATTTGTAGCAGTCCCAATCTGGGACAAAAAAAAAAAAAGCACATGAAGAGGTGAATATATAAACCAATTGTTTTATTTCTGTATGATGGAATACTGCTCAGCAATAAAACAGAATGAACTATCGATAGTTATGAGACCATGGTACAATTATGCTGAGAATAATAAGCCAGAGAAAAGAGTACATATGATTCCATTCATGTAAAATCATACAATATGCAGATGTCCAAGATGGTGGCAGAGTCACACTCATCTCCATCCACTTGTCCCCAGATCTAGAGAGCACTTGCAGTGTAAACGCAGAATGATGAGTGAGTGAGCACATATATGCATGAGAGCACGGGGAGTGTGCAGCAGCGTGCAAGAGCCAGCCTGCCTGAGGGTGCCTGGGAGTTGGCAGTGCCGGCTTTCTAAGTGGCGAGATGATGGCTGCTCAGCCCAGCATCTCTGGCTGCACAGAATTGGGGTGGCTGTGGATTGGCTGTGAAACTTACCATACGGAAGTAATGAGATAATGTATGCATTCCTGTTACATACCTGTGTGTTGGCCTAGGAGCCGCGAGCTACTGGTGCAGAGAGAGAAGGCCTGGGAGGTGAGGGCTCCCGAAACAGCATGGAGAGGGAGCAGGACTGCCCGTCTGAAGAACTCTGGAGGGAGCAGAGTCAGCACTCTGCCACTGACCTATGTTATAGTATAGTTGCAAGGCTCTTCCCAACACCACCCAAGAAATATCCAGACAGAAACTTTATCTGACACTGTTGGAGGCTCTGAAAGGCCATGGCCAGCCCTCCCCATGAGAGACCCTGTGATTTTTGTGGAGGAGAAGCACATGGAGAACTGTCCGCAGGGACTGCTGCTATAGCTTGGGGGCCTCACAGAAGCTTGAGAAAAGGGAGTTAAGGCAAGACCCCTCGCCCAACCCCAACACTCAGCAGGGAACTGGGGCTTGCATGCCTGTGTGTGTGGCTCTGCTAACTAAAAACTCAGATGGCGAGAGTCCACTGAAGGAATGGTACTTGACCGACCACAGCTTGTGAGTAGAGGGATGTTAAGAGTGGAGAATTCAGGTCAAACTTCCCGTGAAAGAGTGGTAGGCTCCAGGCTGGAAGGCAGGACCTGAATGCCTGAGGTTTGCCGCATCCAGGCAGATCCTCCTACAGAGAGACGGGCCCTGCCCTGACCTGTGGGATTATAAAATATGCAGAACCGTGAGTCCAGGGTCAGGAGTCTCCTGCTGGGTACACATCCTCAGGGGAAAGGAAAAAAAAACTCTGAAAGGGCCTTTTGCCAGACAGTATGAGCTACACAGTGACTTGTGCCCTGATCTACTAAAACCAGCAGAACAGAGAGACTAGAGACAGGCACACCAAGGTGTTATCTTCTCTCCTGCACAGCTTTTTAACTTTCATTTCTTATCTTTTGAGTTTGGGCCTAATATGTCACCAGGTTTTATATTATAATTTATTTCAAATCTCGTGTTTTGTTCTTTTATTCTCTACTCTGTTTTATCTTCTTCCTTTCTCCTTTTATATTTTTTCAAATTCTATTTCCTCTCTTATTCTGACTACTTTTTATCCTGCACTGTTACTATTTCTACCCCCTCCAGCCTCTCAAAACCATAATTGTCATTAATCATCTCACATTCTTTCTCCCATTCGTTTTTTGAAATCATGTTTATCCTACTACAGTTGTCTCGATTTTTCCCTCTTTGCCCTCCTCCACCCATCCCACCCACTTTCCCACAGTCATTCCCCACTCTGGGGTCCCTGTCCATGAGTCATTCATCCATGCTCTTTGTTTAGTTCCTTCTTCTTTCCACCATTGTCCTCTTTCCCCGCCCCTTCTGGTCACTTTCAGTCTGCTCCATGTTTCCTTGCCTGTGGTTTATTTTGTTCGTTAGTTTATTTTGTTGAATAGATTTCACTTACAGGTGAGATCATATGGTATTTGTCTTTTACCGACTGGCTTATTTCACTTAGCATAATATTCTTCAGTTTCATCCATGTTGTCACAAAAGGTAGGGGTTCCTTCTTTTTTTCTTTCTTTTTCTTTTAATGTGGATTGATTTTATTTATTTATTTTTTTAAATGATAGGATCCATTATAAAATATTAAAAAATTAAAATCCATTATAAAGTCTCAGCAATCATGACACCTGCACAGAAATAATCAAGTAGATCAAAGAAATAAAACAAGCATTCTAGAAACAAACGTATATATCTGTCTAACAACGTTATACATGATATTATACTGATATTTCAAATCAGTGGGTAAAATAAGGCTTATTCAATATGTGGTGCATTCATCTCTATTGCTTGAAATAAAACAAATACAGAGCTCTATTTC